ACTTCAAGTAACCAGGATATATATAAAAAGATGATACATTGTGCAGATGGGAGTGCAAAGATGTCCATAGCAGCTTAAAAAGTGACGGGTGCTGGATGGTGTGTGTGTGTGTGTGTGTGTGTGTGTGTGTGTGTGTGTGTAGGTGGGGTGGATCTTGTCGGTGTTGGAGGACCTGAAGTTGAGTCCTCAGCCTCCGGTGAGCATCCTGCCTCTGGGGACCGGAAACGACCTCGCCAGGACGCTCAACTGGGGAGGGGTGAGTTCAACTGGGGAGGGGTGAGTTCAACTAGGGAGGGGTGAGTTCAACTGGGGAGGGGTGAGTTCAACTAGGGAGGGGTGAGTTCAACTANCAGAAATCAGCGCAGGTTCTGGTCCAGGCTCTCGTCATCTCACGCCTAGACTACTGCAACTCCCTCCTGGCTGGTCTACCTGCATGTGCCATCCGACCTCTGCAGCTCATCCAGAATGCAGCGGCTCGTCTGGTCTTCAACCTTCCAGAATGGATCTGGCCCTTCCTACATCCAGGACATGGTTAAACCGTACACCCCAGCACGTGCACTCCGCTCTGCATCAGCCAAACAGCTCGCTGCACCCGCACTGCGAGGGGGACCCAAGTTCCCGTCAGCAAAAACACGTGGGTTTGCTATCCTGGCTCCAAAATGGTGGAATGAGCTTCCCATTGAAATCAGGACAGCAGAAAGCTTACACATCTTCCGGCGACGACTGAAAACTCATCTCTTTAGACACCACTTCGAGCGATTGAATTACTAACAAAGCATTTATATACTAATAAAGGGCTGGCTTTTCTAAAGCCAGTTGAGTAGCACTTGAAATGTTTGGCTCTATGAAACCTGATGTACTTATATGATTCTGTTTTCTTCAAGGTTGTATCTTCCTGGTCGAATGCACTTATTGTAAGTCGCTTTGGATAAAAGCGTCAGCTAAATGCAATGCAATGGAACATTTTCTTAATGTAATGTTGCTTTCTACCATAAAGACAAGGGAGAATGTGGGAAAAATGTTTGACGCTTTTTCTATATAAGCTTACGCTAGTAGTTACTAGGGCTGTACCCGAATATTCGACTATTCGTTCGTTGGCCAACTATTCGGGTTTCAAATTTCATTATTCAGATATTTGTTTTTTGTTTTTTTTTTCTAAATGTTTGCTATTGATAAAGGCGAATTGCCATATTCTTATACTATAATTATACTTTTGAATTACACTGTTAAAATGCGGAAATATATACAATCTCAGCCTGTGCTCCTGACATCGCGTTCACTCACAGTCACAAACTCAAACGGCACTCTTCAACTCGCTTCACCTCGTTTCACCCACAAAATGCCAAAGACTTCAGCTGTGTGGGACCATTTTAAATTGGACGACGGTAAGAAGAATATGTGCCAAATATGCGATAAGAAACTGGCCTACCACGGTGGCACAACAACTCTGAAAAGTCACCTGGATGCTGTAATTAGTAGCCTAGCTTAGCTTGGCTGTTGTAAAGTTGTCATGATGAAGCTGCTTTATCCGCCGTTTAAACAGTAACGTTACACATGATAAAAACGTGCACTTACTTTGCTTGGAAAATAGTTGCAAGCAAGCAACCAACCGAATTGTTTTTTTATATTAGTTTTTTAAATTTTATCCGAATAGTGAAATAATAGGAGTAATGTGGGAACATCTGGGCATACTTGCCAACCTAGACCTCAGAAATCGGGACGGGGCGGTGCTAGTGGATCGCCGGAGCTGTTAGATTAACATTAACATGCTTATTGTAGTTCTAAGTGCACTGCATTGCATATATATTTTTGAAAAAAAAATGTAAAAGAAAAATCTTTATAAATGAAAAAATACAAATCTCTCCGCACCGAATATTCGCTGCTGATTACTACCGAATATCCGGAGCCCGAAAAATGTAATTCGTGACAGTTCTCAAAAGATTGCCTTTTTTTGCAGCCTTGTTGTGTTGACGTGAAGACATGTGATCATGAAGTAGCATCAGCTTTTTACTTCTGGAGATTGCCTTTACGCTTCAAGAATTACAAGAGTGGTGTTAATATGTGGAAATGATCCCGCTGAACAAAAAACGCAAGTTCCATAAACGTATGTGTTGGCAACAGAGCTTATTTTTCTGAAATTTTCCTAAATCAAAAGAAAAAATCCCATTGCTTTTTGTTGAGGGCACCCTGGTGATCTTAACTTCTGGGTTGGCCAAGAACATTACGTCACCACTGCACCACTCTTTATCTTCTGACCAACTGTAGAGACACAACACTATCAGCCAGAGTATTGTAAAGGTAAACCCGGCGTCCTGGTGTGTTTTGAACTTCAGTTAACCAAGTGGTTCTCAAACTTTTTCTGTCAGGCCCCCCCCTTTGGAGAAAAAAAAAAGTCAGGCCCCCCCAACACAAATATGACAGAAAAAGTTTGAGAACCACTTGGTTAACTGAAGTTCAAAACACACNGTGTGCCTTAAGCACTTATATACTAATGAAGGACTGGCTTATCTAAAGCCAGTTGAGTAGCACTTGAAATGTTTTAGCTCTATGAAACCTGATGTACTTATATGATTCTGTTTTCTTCAAGTTTGTATTTTGTTGGTCGAACGCACTTATTGTGAGTCGCTTTGGATAAAAGCGTCAGCTAAATGCAATGCAATGTAATGTAATGTAATGTAACAGAAGTGTAATATAATGACTTTTTCAGTTTCAGGCACACAGATGATGATGAGTTTTGGTATACTGCTGGAGTGTGTATAAATGTTTACAATGCCTTGCTGTTTGAGTGCCAAGGATACTGTGATCGGCTCATGACTCACCAGTGTCATGTTGTCATTTGTTTAAAATACCACACCATCATCACATTTTGACTCTCTGCTACTGTAACTTTTTACAGGTATGCAACATTCAAAATAGTATAGTGCAGTATACTCTGTTTTTAATTTGTTACTTTGAGCTTTAATTTCCTATTTTACTGGGAATTGGGTAAACAAATTACTGTTGCAAGCCATGCTTTTTGAATAATAACTTGTCAATCTCCATTACCAGGAACTATGACTTTCAAGACCTATTGACACACATTATTATTGCCCTGGTGATTTTACACTTAATGTAATCAAGACCAAGAACTCTCCAAGTTGATGGCATGAGTATTAATCTTCAGTGTATTCAAGGCAACATGGAATTAAATAATCAGATTGATTGATTACTCCATATGTAGTTCCAGACAAAATATTTCATCAGAGCACCCTTAATGTCCTCTGAGAGACATCCATCTTATTCACAATTCTGACGCCAACATTTTTTACTTCTTACATTAAGTTTGATCGATTAATTGTGGCGAATGTTTGATCTAAAAAACTTTGAAAATAGTCCACAGGTTCTTCACATACAGTTTACATACCCAAACGGAAGTAAATTACATGACATTACATGTTACTTGTTAGACGCTTTTATCCAAAGCGACTGACATACTCAATACTGTGGGCAATCCCCACAGGAGCAATTTCGGGTGAAGTGTCTTGCCCAGGGACACAGTGACATGCTGACTGCAGTGGGGTTTGAACCTGTTTTGGATTGAACTTTGATCCGAACACCAACGCACAACCCACTACACCGCACTCCAAATCCTGTTTTTTTCTGTTTGGGTCTGAGACTCGAATTTAATTTCAAATTATATATTGCACTATATTTACCATAATTTTGAGTGTGGAGATGTATCCACCATAACCCCCAGAAAGAAAGAAAAAATTATATCTATTAACTGTTCACTATTGAGTAAACTTTCATTTCATTTCATTTCCTTTTTATTTGTCCCGCTCATGGTACGCAAAACCAAATGCACAATAATTGCCACAAAACATGACTCTACCAAAACTTGAAATTAACCCTCAATATACCTCAATATCCATATTGTGACAATATTATAGGCTTTTCATTATGTTTAATCACAAATTATGTACACAATAAGATTTCTGAAATATAAATCTTAATCTTAATATATTGACAAAAAAAGTAAGGTCAGAAAATAACATCACTTTATTGTAATGTAGCCTTTAAAACAAGGAAAATACAACACATGTCATATTGATATATCCAAAATCCACGACAATATCAAGTGTCACATTACGATTTAATATGTTTCCCAGCAAACTTGTATACAACATCGTCTAACATAAAAACTAGCTTACTAACTCAAAATGTAATAGCATTACTATGTTAAACATCACGTCAGGAAGAAGAATAAAGAAGTGCATTAGTGTTGAGTCACACTTCCCATCTGCCAGTCACAGTCCAACAGACACTGGTATAGGTCTGAACGACCTGTATGAAACAGGAAGTCTGCTGCTCCTTCTTTACTGCCTCTGCTGTCCCTTTTCTGCTTCAAAGAGCTGCTTTTATCAGAGTAATGGTCCCACTCAGGGGCTTTTATCTGAGCAGTAAATGACAGCTGTAAGTTACTAATGGCCTCCTTTTGACTGTGTTTTGAGTGTGGTCGGAAAACTGGTCTTGTTGGTTGGATGTAAAATGATTGGCATCACGACCAAAGACATGCAGAATATTGTCAAAACTATCATGGATTCTGCATTTCAGGATTGACTCTTTTTATGTTTTCTTCACAAGTTGGCCTGAAGACTGACTTTCAGGGCCAAGAGATGTTAGATTGTTACATTGGAAGTGCTGTAGACAACATATATTTGAGGAATTGATGGCAGTTCTTCAGAGTAAATGCCTAGAAATATTGTCTTTAGATCACGGTTTTCACTTTTATTTGTTCAGGAAATGTTCTTCCTTGCTTCACACTCAATTACACACAAACAATGACATTCCCATCTGAACTGACAAATATATATTTTCAACTAACAGTATAACACCAAAACTATCTATCTGACTCTCCTCACTAAATACATGTTTGTTAGTATTTCAAGCTGTATGTGCAGGAAACACTTCCAGACACTGCAGTGGAACCGCAGCTTTTAAATAAGCATGACAACATATTTCACTAACAGCAGTGAGACTTGAAGTGTATATTAAAAAGAAACAGACCCCTGTGTGTGCTGCTTCCTGTAATGGATCCTACAAAGGATGAAGCGAGTATACCCTTTAAGAATTAAGAGTCATGTTATAGACCTTAACAATGACTGTGAGTGTTGGATGACATAATGACCATAGACTCTTTCGTGTGTAATCACTTAAATATTGCCCATTATGTAATGGATAATGATACTCTTCAAAAGTATTCATAATGAACGAGTTCAACAGTTAAGGTTTTTTTT